GCTAGTCACACCAAAGACCCGGGTTCGATTCCCCACATGGGTACAATGTGTGAAGCCCATTCCTGGTGTCCCCGCGCTGTGATATTGCTGGAATATTGATAAAAGCGGCATTAAACCATACTCACTCACACTTTATGGAAATGGGAATGGTTTTTTTTGGTTTTTTAATGTATTTTTATTTCCCAAAGTACATTTGTTGTTGTCATATTATATTGAACTAAACATCATCATCATCAACATCATACAAGCATCAACATCATAAGCACCATCATCATCATCATCATCATCATCATCATCATAAAAAAACATCATCATCATATGACCCGTGAAGATCCGGGGTAGAATAGGTCTTCAGCAACCTATGCTTGCCACAATAGGCAACTATGTTTGTCGTATGATTAAACGACTATCGGGATTGGGTGGTCAGGCTCGCTGACTTGGTTGACACATGTCATTGGTTCCCAATTGCGCAGATCGATGCTCATGCTGTTGATCACTGGATTCTCTGGTCCAGACCCGATTATTTACAGACCACTGCCATATAGCTGGAATATTGCGGAGTGTGGCGTAAAACTAAACTCACTCACTCACTCACTCATCATCATATATTCAGGGGTTAATGTAGAAATGGGAATGTTTAAGCAAAGATATATTGGAAAGATTAAAATCATTCATGCATTTATATCAGCCACTGATAGGCTTCAAAATTTTATCTAGCTGCATTTAAACTCACATGAATGCTATTTTGGATTTAACGCTTTTTATTTCAGAGTTAACAAATGTTTATATACGGAATAACTACCATATTACTGACCGTAAATTATGATTACATAGAATGACACCTAGAGCAATTAAGGCGTTTCACAACAGTATGAATAATCCCTATATTTTGTGAGAATGATTTTATTGAGAGTTCAGAGAACTGCAAAAGAATGTACAGGGCTGAGAGGAGTTGTCTCCCCTGATGCACAAACATCAACCCAACACAGTGATAAAATCTTTAGTCACCTCTCATGAGATAAAAACACAAATATATTTTGTTAGGCTGGAAAAAGGAGTGCAGAAAGATTGAAAATGTGTGAAAAGGGAGTCAGAACTTAAGTTGAAATCATGCATAACATACTTTCATGGCATGTTTTACTGAAGGCTTTTCTAAGCTGACAGCTGATTACTTGCAAGAGATGTAAACATGCAGAACAGTGGACAAAATCACCAATGATCAAAATCTGCACTAAATACTGATTCAAACTCAGACCCACTTGGAGATGCAGTGGTTCAGTTGTCTGAGCCAAAACAATTCTCTGTGCAGAGTTGTATCTCTAAGCTATGCCAGTAAAATAAGATTCAACTTGATTATGTTTGTGCATTTGTCATCATGATACACACACTTGGTTCACCACAGTGGTGAAGGTCTAAGACCTGCATCACATCATGCCTTCCTCCCATATCAACCAGACATGCTGTTGTATAACTGAAATAACGCCCATAGCTGTGATATAACACCCCCACATCCATTGGACCCTGGTTGCTAGGGAGACAATTCAGCAAACTGAATGTAATCACTTTACACCACTGGGATATGCATCAATTAAATGCATAAATAGAAAATTGTGTGGATAAAGGCAAAGCAATGTAAGCCTGAAAATGATGGACAAATAAGAGGATTCTGCAGAAAACAAAATTCATCGAAACATACCTGAGATTTAGGTGACATAATCTCTCATCTGTTCGGGATACAGTCAATGTTACGGATGACACTTTGCATCCCCTGAAGAACAATTGATTTCTCATCTGTGGGGGATGCAGTCAAAGTAAATGACGACACTGTTTATGCATCCTCTGTTGTTGTTTTGAGCTTTCCATATTCTTTTTCTGATGTATAAGAAAGAAAATTCTATACGCAGAAGTTGCATATATTACACTATGTCTACATTTGAAGAGTCATAAGTTAACCCCCACATAGAAAGATTTGACCTACACTGATTTCGAACATCTCCTTCCTCACTGAAACAGTGTACAGTACACAACCCTGTGCACTTAAAAGAACCCACGAATCCGTTGGTAGGTGACCAGATAGTGGCCCCATGAATACGTGCAAACACCTAGTTGTGGGTGCAGTAAACTTGGACAAAGTACTGTGACTATGCGTCCCAGTCCAACCAGCTGTGAATGGGTACCTCGTAAGGATGGAAAAGCCACATTAACTCAGTGCGCCTAGTAGGCAGCAAGAGTTGTATGCTCCCCAGGGAGTTGAGATTGAAAAATATGATGTGCTGTTGTGATGGATATCCAATGATCGGGGGAAAACAAAGCGCCTTTGAGCAGTTGTCCTGGATATCGGTGCTATACAAATGTTTGTATGTATGTGTATGTATGTATGAAACCTTTTTGCCAATGATGATGAAGGGAATATTATTCCAGTTTTCCTGTAATACCTTCTCTTGGCTCTCCAAAATGTTTTCTACAGCTGCTAAGACATCCTCTTTCATGATTGTGGCTCCAGCTTAAAAGATGAAAGTCTGACAAATCCAGATCAAGAGAATACGGAGGGTTTAAAAGGGTTTAAAGCCACACTACTAGATTGTATCAATAGCAATGACTGATTTCAGTCATGAAATAAACTTGAATTGAATTGATTGGCATGTCTCCTGGTGGAAGAGCACACCTTGTCTCAGCTTCCTACGTCTCTTAGTCTTCATTTCATCAAGTAACTGCCTCAAAGTTGCATTCCATATAATGTCTGGATTCTTGGAATATATTGTACACACCTCAGATTAGCTGACATTGCAGGTAAGCCAAGGTATTAATTTGACCATCAAAGTTTCAATCAAAATGTTATGTCCAGTACATAAGCCAAACTGCCAAGAAGTTGTAAAGTCCACCATGATGACATCATTGGCATCCATGGCATCCAGGCAGCCCTGTGCATGAACCTTTCCAGCTGATGGGTCAATATTTCCCTTTTTTGTGGTGATGCTTCAAGTTTTATTTGGGACTGAAGCTGGAAGTTATCAATCCAGATTTTATCCAGTCATGAATCATTGCAAAACTCTTTCTGTATCAGCTTCAAACAGAGCTAAATATCATGAGACTTCTTGCGCTGATGTCACAAGCCTTGGAAGAAAACAAGCTGATACTTTCTTCAATGCCAAAGTTTCTGTAAGAATGGAATGTACTTTCTCACTAGATATTTCAATTGAACTAACAATAGTTCATTCAGTCATTTGCTGGTCAGTCATCAACATATCTAGAATTCCTTGATCATTTCAAGTGTTGCGGGCATGAAAGGTCTTGAAGGATCACTTTTCATCTTTAATGCTCTGTCTGCCACACTTGAACTCCACTGCCCACCTCTTTTAGAAATGGGCATTCTTTCTTAGTTCTCTACTCATAGCTTCATGGATGACTGTTCAGGTAAAACCCATAATATTCATGTATCGATCATTGAATGTCCCTTAAGTTTGCCCATTTTCGAAAGGTCATAGGCTCATTTTATTGACTGGCCACATAGAAACAATTTGTTCAACTGACTTAGGTTTTTATTGCAAAATCTCTACAGCATCATGTATTGTCATCACAGAGACTTCACTATTTCACAATGTTTTCAGTTTGAGGATCAGAATTTTTACACATCTTATTAGAAGGACAGATTTGTTTTCATATGTTGTGGCTTAGTGAGTGAGTGAGTGAGTTTAGCTTTACGCCGCACTCAGCAATATCCCAGCTATATGGCGGCGGTCTGTAAATAATCGAGTCTGGACCAGACAATCCAGTGATCAACAGCATGAGCATCGATCTGCGCAATTGGGAACTGATGACATGTGTCAACCTAGTCAGTGAAACTGACCACCTGATCCCGTTAGTCGCCTCTTACGACAAGCATAGTCGCCTTTTATGGCAAGCACATGGGTTGCTGAAGACCTATTCTACCCCGGATCTTCACGGGTCTGTTGTGGCTTAACTATTGGTTGCAGTTTTCATCCTGTACAACCATAGCTATTCTTAATACTGTTATGCATGTCAAGCCAGTCCTGTTCCTCTTACATAATGTAAATAATTGTGAATCAACATGTTTGCAGTTAATAAAATAATAAAATACTTTTAAACTTTTTGTCCATTATGTCAAATCTTCTTTATAAATACAAAACATAAAATGTATTCACACTAAACTGTAATGCACATATATATTCTTTATTAGAAATTTTGTTAGACATTGTTTAACATTTTGGTTGTATTTCCTGTTTTTTCTGTATTTTTATTCATATATATATATATTCATATATATAGAAATTTACATGTTTAATTGTTTTATGAGATCTGAAAATTGCAACCTATCTGTTCACGCTTTCCATTCTTCCTATTGTTCACTCTTTCCATTGTTCCTATTGACAATGACTATGTGCATTATACTTTTTATACTAAAGATCCATATTTGAATTTACACCACCATGCTGTTGTGGTATCTTTATACCAGTACTCTTTCAACTGCGTTGACTTTAGAGCTGCTTATAGGTATCACCCCACAAATAACTCCTACACAAGCAATGAAAATGGGGAGGTGGACTCGAAGGCTTTATCAAATGGAGGGGGCTATCAAACCACACATAAAGTGCGATATCAAAACCTAAGTCAGTTGTACACTGCCATTTATTTATACAAAAGATTCCACTTGACTTTTGATCTTTCCCCGCGACTAATAAGCACCTTTGCGGGGTTAATCCACCTGGACGGGATGCTGATATGCTTGATAAGAATATTCATTCGCATCGCGTATCTCTCACAAGTGACCATTAGCATCACGATATATCACGACACAAATGAGTACTGTTGATTTTAGAGTTTATCTTTCAACATATGAAACGTCAAGTGTGATGTTTTATTGTTGGGCGTTCAACCATGACCTGCGGTATATATTCATTCACAAACCACCTGTTGGCTGAAACTTATACGGCAGCGTTCGAGTTCATTCATCACCTGAGTAAAACAGGTACAAGATGTCACTCAAGCAGGGCGCTCAATTCAAATTGTTTAAAGAAACCCATCTTCAGACTCATGTAATGTTAAATAGTGCATATTCCGTAACTCTCTTCAGGTAGATGTTCCATTGTATCGCGCACCTGTTAAAGTGACAGACGACACCTATTCACGTGACCCTTCACCTCACGTGCAATAGCGAGCGCAGAGCCAGCGCGAGCTTGTACCTCCCCGTCAACACAGGCTGTAAAATTACTGCAATGTCCACATCACAGTAGCCGCGATCGCCAGACTTTGTAATGAGGTAAATTGATTGTTATCTTTTCAACTGTCATTGAAAACTGTGTACACAATTACAGCTTCCGCTGAGCTGCGATTTCGCTTGCGGCGCCATATTCAAACTGCGATGACTCACAGGTAAGGGGAGCTTGCGTGATAGGCTCGGCCAAGGTCGATAAAACAACAGCCGAACACACGCGGGGGATTTCAAACTACATTTGTGCGATCGTATAGAGATCTAAGTGCATGTGATCCTTGGATGTACTACCACAAATGACTGTATTTGTTTATGGCAAAATCACAGGTATAATAGACCAACAGGTGAGTTCACAATGGGTTGAAATCGGTTAAAATTGTGTGTCAACATACTGTACAACATGGTGTGATGGTAGATCAGTTTATCGTAATAACAGGCAGAATTTTCTGTCAAGAAATAATACGTACATGCCGTTGGTGATGATGTGGGCTTGTATGGTCAATATGTCTTTGTTTAATGCATTCATAGTGTTGTGTTTAAAACCAATGACACATGAAACTGCTTATTCAAATCCTACAATGGTGTTTTTTTTCTGTAAATCGAAATGCCTGTTCAAAACCAGTAACACCAGTATATGGCAACCTGAACCAAACTAATGGAGGAAGACACAGTGTTGCAACATGTATCCAAATGTAAAACACTTATGAAAAATACATGGTGAAACATTATCTCATCCATGTATGTGCAGTATTACATTATATCATATATCTGTAACTGTTATCATTATGACTGTTGTAATCATCATAATGTTTAATTCTACCCCTGTTGTTTTGTCATCCTCAAATATTTAGCTGCATTGTTTTAGGATATTTCACATAATTGAAAGATGGCGTATATTAGATAAGTGATTGCTCAAAATCAAACCAGATGCTCTTTAGTTGATATATCTAGATATGTGGCTTAATTTAAGTTTCTTAAGCCAAACCTGGCAATATTGCAGGTATATGGCTGCAGTCTGTAAATAATCAAGTCTAGACCTGACAATCCAGTGACTGACATTGTGATGATCGATCTACTGTCTACATATGTGGGATATGATGATGTACCTGCCAACTCAATGTGTCTTAACCACCCGATTTCATTAGTATCCTCTCACTGTCAGCTTGAGTAATTATAGTACCACATGTATGTATTTGCTGTGTAAGTCGACACTTAATGATTATATTACTGATTCATTTCATAATAATGTAAATCTGAATTAACAGCAACAAATTCTGCTTGCTAAATCTTACAGCTCAGTTCACGTCACAATTTCATTAATGAGTGAGTAAGGGTCCCTCTTGACCACAGGCCAGGGTAAAACCCTGTTAAATAAAACAAATATTACAGAAGTTTTCAAAAGGCATTTGCTAATGGTTGTTTTTCACAGTGAATAGTTTGCAAACATGCATACGTTAATCTATTGAAAATAAAAAATTTGCCCAGGGCATACATGAGCAATAACTCTGTACTAAGTCAAACTCAAGTTATTTTAAAAACTGCCATTGGTTAAAATGAACACAGGAAGGGATTAGACATGTCAGCATGCATGGTAGAAAAGCATTGAAAGAAGTGAACAAAAGCTTGGATAATCTTGGAAAGTCGCAGTCATGTTTAAAATAAGGTAGAATGGCCATGAAGGAAATTGAAAAAGGTGTTTCCTCAAAGGCTTAATGGACGGACTAACAAATACTTCTGTTGTCAGGACAGGCATGAGATTTAAGGTGTTGCATAATTTTACAGCCCATTGTCCATTAGAAACATGAAGAGGTCATTGACTTCTACCCACAATGGAAATCACCGAGCCGCCTTTAATTGTCACCTGTTGCCATGGTAACAGTCTTGCTTAGATCAGAAAAACAAATTAAAATCATGTCAGGTTTACTATAATGAAACTCAAGACCATGGTTACCATGGTTACTAAACATAAGAAATTGGATCAGCTTTAGTATGTTAGACCAACAATAATAACAAAATAGTGAATAATATTATTTCTGAGTTTTCATTTTATGGTTTAAGGTAGAAAAATGTCCCATTTGCTCGGCAATATGAATTGTGCAGTCTTTAAGAGTTTTGATTAGCCATGTTTTTCCACATTCTGCTAGACAGACATGAAGGGAGTTATCTATAGAGATCCACAGATGCTGATATTTTGGCCCTAGTATTCAGACAATGTTTGTTCAAATTCCCAATCTTGATTGACTGATTTCTCGTTTTCATGTTGGTACAGTTATTGCCAATGATAACCAATGTTGTAATGAGTGAGTGAGTGAGTTTAGTTTTACACAACTTTTGGCATTTTTCCAGCAATATCACCAAGGGGACATCAGACATGGGCTTCACACATTACCCATGTGGGAATCGAACTCTGGTCTTCGGAAAGACAAGCGAACACTTTATCCACTAGGCTGCCTCACCAATGTTATAGCTGTGTAGAGGTTGCCTGGATTTGCTCATTACAGGACCCAGAGGGCCAAAGTGGCTTTAGCATTTGGTTTTATACTGTTGCTCTGAACACAGTTGAAGTACTTATAATATCTGAAAGTGAAACCTGAGGAAATATAAATGATGCGTCTTCCCAGTTTGCCTGCTAAGGGCACTACCTCTGTGGTGTAGTGGTTAGAGTGTCCGCCCAGAGTGCGGAAGGTCGCGGGTTCGATCCCCGACTGCGTCATACCAAAAGATGTTAAAATATGGTTCTTGTTGGTCCCTGCCTGGCGCTCAGCATTAATGGGTACAACAAGGACTGGTCGGCTCGGAGTCAGTATAATGTGTCTGAGTGGGGTATTCATGCTTCACTGCGGCATGGTATCTCAATGGGCTAGCACTATAAAACCAGCTTCAGTCTGGGCTAGTACAAGCAGCCGCACATACACACGCATGCACGTCGTCATATGAGCGAAATATTCTCAAGCACGACGTTAAACCCAATTCCACCACCACCACCACATTTTGAATCCAAGATGAATTGCTGCATGATGATTGGTCAGGAGAGTTAGCTCAAAGTCACATGGTTCAGTTAGTGTTTACAACATTTTGAACATTCATCAAAGCACATTCCTTTCCTGGAGTGAATGTTTCAGCACAAACTGTATGGGTATTGTATGGTTGTGATAATATTGTCACAATCTCGCTTTTCGCGCTGTTCCTTTAGTTGCCAATGCGCCCTTGTAACAAATTGGGAAAACGCACAAATAAATGATGACAGTTTCTTAAACAACTTTTTTATTTTTGTGACACAAATTATGCAATTTTGTTCTAGGGTTGGTCTGTTGTTTTTATTGCAGTCCATGTTGGTTTGATTCTTTTATGTCTATTTGTTTTTGTGTTAGATTGCAATTCATCGGTATCATTTTGTCTCAAACGGACTGTAGTGGTTGTTTTTGTTTGTTTTGTTTAAAGCTGCACTGTTCTCCAGCTATATGAGAGTGGTCTGTAAATCATCGATTCTAGACCAGACAATCCAGTGATTGACATCACAAGGATCCTTCTAAAAAAAAATTAGATTATGTAAATTTATCTTTGGAACAAGTTGCAATTTGAGATTTTCTTTTTGAAAATATAGTATGATGGATTTGATTATTGTATCCCTTTTGAATCTTCGTTTATTGTTTGCAACAGTTGCGTCAACGCTGGGTTTGAGGACTTGTCCTTCAGGATGCTGAGGACGCAGCCCAGCACCGTGGAGCAGGATAGGACCATCACGTCTGAACAGTTGGAACAACAGCTGGAAGGAAGCGATCCACATCAGTGTGTCGTCATATCTCACACTCCCTCAGTCCAGGTGAGCTATGGGTGATACGATCAAACTGTACATACTGTAGTCCACCATCAGGTCAGGTGAGCTATATGGTGATGCAATCAAACTGAACATGCTGTTGTCCACTATCCGTGTACAAATATAGTATTTCTGTATGGTCTATAGGTGCACTGGGTTATAAATGAGTTATACCACACGAATACATTTTGTTCTCTCTGACTATGTAAAACAACTTGTTGACAGTATACTTGATACAATGTTTCATCAATGTCTGCCCACAGGTGTACTATGCATTACGGACGAAGCTGGAGTCGAGTGATGAAACCTGGTTACAGGAGTTCATCTCCCTATCAGGCCTCGACTCGCTCCTGGACTCCCTGTGTCAGATGACAGGGAAGGCCTTCACAGGGTTCTCTGATGCCATCCTCCAGATTGACTGCATATCTTGTATCCGTGCAATTCTCAACACCCGGGTCGGCCTTGACCACTTCCTGTCGACGTCAACATGCATCAGGAAACTCACGCAAGGTGTGAATACAGGAGGAAAAGAATGGCCATAAATGTACATGTCATACCCAAAAGTCCTTTGTGCGATCACTGGTTCGTGGAGTTTGCTGCCACCTGTTCTAATCAAGATTATAAAACTGCACGTCTACCAAGCTCAACAAGAAATTTATTGTGAAATAAAAAATGTCACACATCATGTGTTCACTAAGGGTGGTGGCAATCAGCCTTGTGGTTGTGTAGTTTCTCTCTCCTTCTCCCTCTCTCTGTCTCTCTCTCCTGAAGACCTGAAGACCAATAACATTTCCCATGTCTGAAGCCCCTTTTGTGATGTCCCTGCCATGCTCTTGCAGAAATGTTCTGAAAGCAAATATAAATCATCATCCATCATACACTCCTTCACACAGTACAAACCTTTGTTTCAGCCCTGACCATCACCAATACACTGCCCAAGAAACAAGTCCTCGAGATCCTGTCTGCTATCATGGCCTACAGCACCCATGGCTACAAGCTGGTCATCGCTGCAATGGAGCACTTCAAGGTGACAACCTGGAATTACTAGTGTTGAGATGTTGTAACAGATATTCATCTTCTTGAGAGAAGGACAACCTCTGTAGTGTAGTAGTTAGAGAGCCCAGTGGAAGGTCGCGGTTCGATCCCCTGCTGCATCATTCCAAAAGATGTTAAAATATGGTACTTGTTGGTCCCTGCCTGACACTCGGCATTAATGGGTACAACAAGGACTGGTCGGCAGTATAATGTCTGAATGTGGGTATTCATGCAAAACTGTGGCATGGTATCTCAGTGGGCAGCTATGCACTATAACACCAGTACACCAGTTTAAGTCTGTTGCATAGTAAATATTCTCAGCAGACGTTAAACCCCATTTCACATACATTTCTTTTTGATTTAAACATATTTATTCAAGAGAATGGATTGGGTACAAGTTATGCCAACTTAGTGAAACCCTCTCCTATTTACAGTGCTTACATGCAAAAGTGAAACAAACTATATGTACAGGTATAGAAAGATATATACAAAATGATATATACAATACAATGAATACATGAATTATTTCGATCATACACATTATATCTCAGTTACCTCCTGAGAGAAGGGAGATAACTGACTATAGAAGTAGTTTCCACCCTTGCAAAATTAGGCTTGAAATATTTAGTTACATTGTGCTGTGCCTAATGAATCTGTGCATAGTCTGATAAACTTGGCATAACCATTTTGTTTGAAACAAGTACGAATAAATCGTAATAGTGGTGGCAATTAAGCCACGAAAATCCAAACTAGTTTAGCGAGGATGGAAACTGGATATTTTTGTGAGTTAACTCCCTTGCATGGGGAAGGCAATTGTAAGGTACATTGCAGGATACACTCCTCTTTAGACATATATAATATGTTAACATATTCCGTCTGACAATTATTTTCGGTGAAACGTTAGTGTGTGTCTGTATGATCTGTCTCAAGACAGAAATATAACTGAAGCCTGATAACTTGTAAGTTTGAACGAGGTCAGTTATGGCGTGACAAGGTTTGGTGAGAACACATGATATCTCTGCTACAGTGAAATTGGATCCATTACAATCAAGTGACACAACTTGTTAGCCCTATTTTTTACTCACAGGACTTGTTATTACTGTTTACAAACTGAAAAAATTGGAAGTATAATTTTGAGTTACAAATAGAATCTCACACTCATGTCTTTTGTTATCAAGAGATTCAACATGTCTAAACTTTTATCGACTAATGGACCCGTGAAGGTCCGGATTAAAAAGAACCTTCAGTAACCCATGCTTGTCATAAGAGGTGGGATCGGGTGGTCAGGCTCACTGGCTTAGTTGACACATGTCATCGGTTCCCAATCGCGCAGATCAATGCTCATGCTGTAGATCACTGGATTGTCTGGTCCAGACTCAATTATTTACAGACCACCGCCATATAGCTGGAATATTGCTGAGTGTGGTGTAAAACTAAACTCGCTCACTATTGACTAATGTCGCTATATTTGAGACCCCAAGAAACATGGGTGAAATTTTCTACTACACTAACCCATTATAATGCAAAAAAAGTCCCAATATTTCTGAGCTCCTTTTGCTGTGGTTTCAGAGAGAGGAAAACCAGAGCCACAGATTTAGTATTGTGTTAAATGAGCTGAAAAGTGCTGAGACGGTCCCCCACAAGACGGCAGTGATGACCTTCCTCAACTGCATCGTCAACTGCAACACCGACATCGCGGAAAGGACGAGATGCAGGAATGAATTGGCAGGTACACTTCACAAGACAGAAGGCTCCAGCATAACAATAGATTATTCTTTAAGCAAAAGAAAGAATAAATGCTTAAAGGTTATGTATATGCCTTTACAAAAGAGACTATCTGGGTTAGAATTGGTCTTCAACAAGATTGAGTCCATGCCTGTCTTCCGAGTGTACTAATGGCATCTGTTGTCAGGCTAACTGGTTTGTTTGATGCATGCCATCATCTCAGAATTGCATAGGATGATGGTCATTACGTCAATCACTGGATTGTCAAGTTCAGCCATGTTTATTTACAGACTCAGGGTTTTAAATGACGCGTGATTCCTGCGTATTTGACGCAACAATTTTGTAAACGACTCTCAAAATATTATCATACGAGTCAAGCTTGACGCAAAGTTTTTATGGGTGACCCTCACAACTCAGTTCAATAAAATTGATTTGATAAGCAAAAAATGATATTGTCAGATTGTTCCAGAGAACTCAGAGGCGACAGTAATCCTGGCTGTTTGAATTGAACAATGCTGTAGTTTCCTTTGGTGGTGTGACATACATTTACATACTGAGAATGATTAACACGAAGAAATATTAAACTTTTCATGACTCCCAAATATTGAAAATGACTCCCCAAAATAAATATTGTGAGTCACCATGACTCCCATTTTTAAATGTCTGTGTAAAACCCTGAGACTATTGTCAGTTGATTGTTGAGTGCAGTATTCAACAACATGCAAACAAAAACAAACAAACAAACCGTTTCCATCAGTGGACTGACTGACTGAGTTTGGTTTTACGCCGCTTTTAGCAATATTCCAGCAACATCACGGCAGGGGACACCAGAAATGGGCTTCACACATTGTACCTATGTGGGGATTCGAACCCGGGTCTTCGCCGTGACGAGCCAACGCTTTAACCACTAGGCTACCCCACTGCCCCTCTATCAGTGGAGGATTGGTTTACTTAATTGTTGAAGCTTCTATATTATACAAATAAAATACATCCAGCTTCACATTTTTTAAAGATTGATGAAAATGTACTTATTGATTTACTGTGGCATATTCTTATAAATGTTGCGTTGCACGTGTTTGTGGTCTGTGTGCAGGTCTTGGCTTGTTGGATGTGCTGAGTTTCCTGCGGAGAGAAGAGGTGGACGTCGATCTTCACTTACAGCTGCAGGTACATTGTCATTGTGTTCTCTCTCACTGCAGAAGGAGCTGTAGGGTAGCCTAGTGGTTAAAGTGTCCAATCGTAGTGCAAAAGATCCAGGTTTGATTCCCCACATGGGCACAATGTGTCAAGCCCATTTCTGATGTCCCCTGAAAGCTTTTCTCTTTCATTTTTCTCGAAAGTTAGAAGTGAAGTAGGATTTTTTTATTTCATGCTGGAGGGACACTTTTCTTTCTTTTTGTCAGTACCATTAATAATGACTGTCATGACTTGGCACACACTCAACTAAAAAGAATGGACTAACGGGATCTGGTGGTCAGGCTCGCTGGCTTGGTTGACACATGTCATCGGTTCCCAATTGAGCAGATCGATGCTCATGCTGTTGATCACTGGATTGTCTGGTCCAGACTTGATTATTTACAGACCACCGCCATATAGCTGGAATATTGTTGAGTGCGCGGAAAAACTAAACTCTCACTCATTCAGTTGTTAAGGCTTGAAAAAAGCTGAGAACAGTGTAACAAACAACATCCAATAACAAATTTATTTTCATGACACACTGTAATACTGGAAAAACTTTCTCAAGTCACCAGAGCATGCTTGACAATGATTTTCTAAAAGTTTGTGGATTTATGATATGTGAGTGAGTTGGTTGAGGTGGGATTTATGCCGCTTTTAGCAATATTCCAGCAATATCCCAGTGGGGGATACCAGAAATTGGTTTCACACATTTCAACCAGGTGAGGAATCAAACCTTGGTCTTCAGCGTGATGACAACTCTTATGGTCTAAGACTACTGTAATACTGGAAAATGTTTCTCAAGTTGATAGAAGTGTGTTTGTGCTTCCAGACCTTCCACTCCAGGAAGCATCAAGATGAGGAAGAACTGGCAGCTAAATGTGACCTTGACCTCAGTAGCCCTCATGACCTTGTTGATAAGATACAAGAGAAAGTAAGAATTCATTTCAACATGGATTTTATAAAAGAATATCAGTGTGCGCTTTTGTTGTTTGACTCTGCACTCAGCTATATTCCATTTGTATGATAGCAGCCAGTGAACCAGGTGACTTATGTAATTTGATCAGTAATAGGATATGATGGTATGCAATCCTCTAATTCATTCAGCTTGAGTTGCTTCATACAACAAGCATGAGTTGCTCAGGAACTCTATGCTCACCCAGAATCCCAGCAGAAATACTAGGCAGTCAGAGTACTACATATCTACAATAACAACCTTGATAAGAAAATCTGAAAAATGAAGCTAACCAATTTTTTTCGATGATTGTTCGTTGGTAATGAAGCAATCATCAATTGTGAGATTTCAACCAATCCCAACACTACAGAGTACCAATATCAGACTATCATCCGTATTCAGATTCTGTAGAGACACTAACATTATATGGTTAATGATATGTTTAGTTTGCTAGATTGGCTGTATTTCCATACATTTCGTAATGCTACAAAAATGTACAATTGTACAATATTAACTGTGTACTCATTGTTGCTTGCTTTTTTCTCTGACATTTGAGAATCACAAACAAAATTCTTTGTTGCTAGGTGTTTGGCAGTTCCAAGATGGCCTCCTTTGTCAACATTCTTCAAGATTTGTTAGCCATGGAAGCAGACAGCCAAAGGTAAATATGATCTACAGATACTGAATTAATGAATTGAATAACATCCATTCTCAAATATGGCGTGGGTCAGGGATGGTGGAGTAGCATAGGTTAAAGTGTTCATTTGTCTCAAGAAAAATTAAGACCTGGGTTCAATTTCCCACATGGGTACAATGTGTGAAGCCCATTTCTGGTTTCCCCTACTGTGATATTGATATAAGTGGTGTAAAACCAAACTCATTCTCTTACTTAAAAGGGGCGGTGGAGTAGCCTAGTGGTTAAGGCGTTTGCTCGTCACGCCGAAGACTCCGGGTTTCGATTCCCCACATGGGTACAATGTGTGAAGCCCCTTTCTGGTGTCTCCCGCCCTGATATTGCTGGAACATTGCTAAAAGCGGCGTAAAACCAAACTCACTCACTCACTCACTCTTACTTAAAGGAATCGTACATAACAATGCTGAAGTTAGTTTGACATTTTTTCCCAGTGAGAAGATGTGGACCACAATAGAGAACCAGATCCACCACCTCATCCATGGATCGGAAGATGAGGACCGTCTGGCGAAGGTATCACCTGAAGAAATTGAGGCCCTGCTGACTCCAGACATCAACATGGCCAACAATTTTCAACGAAAGTTGACTGAGAAGTTGAACACACCACCCAAGAAGCTGAATGACAGTGTCTATGAAAACTGGAACCAGACGCCCACACATAAGTTACTCAATGACCTGAACACCCGACAAGGAATAAGTTGAGTTGGAACAACAATTTCAACAGTCTATTGAAGCAGAAGGAAAACTTTGAGGGCAAGTCAGTGTGTGGCGACTCCTTCAGCAGACAGCTGGTGCCCTTGCCAAAGAAGCCCATGCGCAATCTGAAGTGGATCATAGTCGAGACAGAGGCTGTTGGTAAGTTGGCTCCAAAATAGTATTTTTAGGAGATAAAGTTTGTGCATTTCTGCCACATTTGCTTGGATTTGACATTTGACATGGCCCAACTGGTGGTCAAAACTGCCACAATTTGAAGTGGCCCAACTGCTTTGAGTCCCAACTGCTGGTCAAAGCTGCCACAATTTGAAGTGGCCCAACTGCTGGTCAAAGCTGCCACAATTTGAAGTGGCCCAACTGCTGGTCAAAACTGCCACAATTTGAAGTGGCCCAACTGCTGGTCAAAGCTGCCACAATTTGAAGTGGCCCAACTGCTGGTCAAAGCTGCCACAATTTGAAGTGGCCCAACTGCTGGTCAAAGCTGCCACAATTTGAAGTGGCCCAACTGCTGGCCAAAGCTGCCATACTTCAACATGACCCAACGGGTGGTCAAAGATGCCAGGCCTTCCTGGTGGTCAAACCTGCCACAATCTAACATGGCCAAACTGGTGGTCAAAACTGCCACAAGTATTATGGGTAATATATATATAGTAACCTACATGGAATTTTGTATTGTGCGACCTTTATGAAATAATGTTGAAAGTTCTTTACCAAATAGTATAAAATTCTTTGAAGTGCTCAAAATTTCTATATAAAAATATTCTTGAGAGTTTGCTTTGAATGAGGAAACAAATAGTGCATTTGTTTTAATTTTATTTTTGTTTTGTATTTTATTTTTTATAATATTACTGACATGTACGAAACTGCTGCAACATATTTTGTACCACAGAGAGTCACCCCAGCTGCATCTGGCAGAAGATCGAGAACATTCCCAGGATACAGCCGGACTACAGCCACATTGAGGACATCTTCAGTGAGACACACGTGTTTGAGGAGTATGAGGAGGTAATGAGCACTGGATATTTCTCACATTTTGGGAGAGAGGCATGTGCAAACTGAACTGTCACTTATATTCATAATGAAATTGTCCAACCAATCCACTACAATGGCATGAATATTTGTTCACACCATCAACCATTGGTTAACCTCTTCTTTGGTTCATTATAACAGAGGTGGAAATAACTTTAAAATTGCTAGTGTATTCCGGTACAGTGACACATGTGAAATCACTTGCCCTGATAATTTTTCCACTAAACAGGCTGATTTTCTTGTTGATTTTTTAAATAAACAACATAATTAACATTGGAAAGTCAACTGGACACGGGTACAGCGTGATATACAGATTTGCTTGCCCGACAGAAAAAAAACACTGGACTGGGACGTCAGGCAATGGGTTATTTCCACCCCTGTATAATATGATTGCACTATAATGCTGCTGAATAATGCTTGACTCTATTCAAAGAGTTGATGTGACATGTGGTTTACAAACATGTTCAAGATCATTGCAGTTTTTAACCAATACATATCTATGTGCACGCATTGATGTACCTCTCTCAGACACAGAACATACTAGTATTTTTTTAAATGTATATTTCTAGAACTGTCCACCAGACTGCTTCATTTTTATTGTATGGTAGATTTAGTTAAATGAAGCATTCATAAAATCTTGTGAGATGCCTGCACATCTGTATACCCAAGGCTGTACTTGTCACACAGGTCCCACTGTTGAGTCAGACATCCAGGCTGAACATCAACCTGTTCATCAACAGACTGGAGGTAGAACCAGAGGAACTTGTAAGAAACCTGATCGATGGTGAACCATCTAGTCTGACTTTGCCGATGCTAAGATACCTCACAAAGATTCTCCCAGAACATGAAGAGGTAGGCCTGTAATAGACCATTGGAGAAACTATTGTTGAGACTGACTGACTGAGTTTGGTTTTACGCCACTTTTAGCAATATTCCAGCAACATCACGGCGGGGGACACCAGAAATGGGCTTCACACATTTCACCCATGTGGGGATTCAAACCCGGGTCTTCGGCGTGACGAGCCAACGCTTTAACCACTAGGCTACCCCACCGCCCCCTATTGTTGAGAAAAAGGAAATGGAGATGTGTGCTACTGATGAATGCAGTAAAATATTGTGTTTTCCAAGGCCCTCTTTCACAAAATGTTTGTATTGCTTAAACCTTTCATACACCTGTAAGGTAGACTTTTGATTTAACGCAGTTTGTAGGAATAGAACCATGAGATCACATGTTGTGTTCCCGGACTATAGGTGCAGATTCTGAAGGATTACATCAGCAACCTTCTTGAAAATATGTGTTATATTCTTGTCTTTAGGTGCAAATGTTGAATATGTGCAATGGGAACTTGTTCGAGAGGATGTGTTACATTCTTGTCTTCAGGTACAGATGTTGAAGGCATACAATGGCAACCTGCTTGAACTGGGTCTGGCCGAGCAGTTCCTGCTGCACCTCTCGGACATCCCCAACTACCGCACCCTCATCAACGGCCACCTTACAAGGGCCGAGTTCACCTCCAACATAGTGAAACTGAAGACGACATTGACCGCCATGGTGGCCAGCTGCAAGTTCATCTTGTCAAGCTCTGACCTCCGAGAGTTCCTGCAACTGGTGCTCCGTGTGGGGGAACTTCCTCAATCATGTACGTTTCAAGAAACAATCTCTAGAGTTTATAAGGCTCCTTGTCTGTTATTACTTGGTTAAGGCTGCGTAGGAAAGATGTAGAAAATCTAGCCTGTCCACAGGACTGGCAGGTCAAATTTTTCTACCAGTCCTGCCAAAATCTAGCCTGTCCTCCAAATATAGATAAAACACCTTCGGCAGTAAATATTCAAAAAGGTTATAATCATTATATATATGATATTTTTTTAACCCGTCCTCCACAAAATTCACCCGTCTCGGACGTTGGGACGGGCTATCTTTCCTACACTGGTTAAGGCCTGCTGAACCAAAGGTAAGAATTTGGAGCTGTTCTTAGGTCTATCAACTGGGCCAATTTACCAATTTTTTCAGCTAAAGAAGTATGCATTTGTGATGGGAAATATTTGACTTTTGAAAAGATTAGGTGCATGGTTTTCATTTAAAAAACAATAAAGTTCCAGTCAAATTGAATATTTAGATATTTTTTTATTCATATTTGAATCAGATTTTAATATTATTTCATGAATACTTCATTTGAACATATTAAAAACATTTATTGAAACTAGTAAAGTTTTTGTGGTTACCGTTAAAGATGAGTCAAAGTTAATATCAGAGTGATTGGAGAAATCCATTGTTTCTGTCCTTGCTGTTGCAAACTGAAGCAAGAACTTTTTTGACATTAGTATATGCGCATTTCCATTAATTATAGTTTAGTTTCCTTTGATCACCACTAGATTTTCAAAGTTGGCATTTGGCTTCTGTTTCAACAGAGTAAGTTCAATGGTAATGCTGCTGGGTACAAACTGACAAGCCTGGAGCGTGTAAAGGATGTGAAATCCTCTGTCCTCAACAAGACACTGATGCACTACCTGGTGGAGGTGGCTGTGGAGAATGATGATTCCACCCTCAGCTTCCTAGCTGAGATTCCCAGGCTAGAGAAAGCCTCCAGGTAGGGGAATGTTTCATGTTGTCACAGCTTATGTTCCAAAGGTCACAGCTCATGTTCTGAATGTTGCAACTCTTGTTCCAAAGGTGTCATCGTGTGGTCAACATACCGTGACGGTGTTAATTAATTAAAGAGAATGTTTGCTGAGTGATTTGCAAGTGGCAATGCTCGTATCATGAGTAAATGAATTCAATTAATTATAGAGAATGTCTTTTTAACAATTTGTAAAAGAATTAAGGTTGCAAACAGACTATTTTTTTACGTTATGCGAGTGGAAGGATTACCAAGTTGGAGTTTAACATGCAAAAAAAACCGTTACTACCACCTGGGTTGAAGGTCCATGGACTCTGCCAACTTGGAATCATTTTGAAAACGATGGACACAGAACTAACGATAATTTGGAAGGTTGCCACAACAAAATCAACAAGTATGCCATGAAAACACATCCGAATGTGTTTGAGGTTGCGCGAATGCTGCAGAAAGAACAGTCAGCACCTGCAGAAATCACTTATTTATAAAATACACACACACACACACAAATATATTGTGTGAGATTTATGAAATATATATACAAATATGTTAACTAAACAGACCATGTGTCAGAGTTGCTTCATCTTGACTGAGCATTCAGATTACTTTAGTGCAGATATAAAGGAGTTTGGGCAAGAAGAAATATCTGAACTCATCTTTTATATGTTTATTACTTATACACCTGCAGAAATCACTTATTCATATAATACACACACACAAATAAATATATTGTGAGATATTGATGAAATATATATACAAATATGTTATATTGTGTGACATATGATACATACATGTTGTTATGTCTGATGGTCACAGCTCATGGTCTGATGATCACAGCTCATGGTCTGATGGTCACAGCTCATGGTCTGATGGTCACAGCTCATTGTCTGATGGTCACAGCTCATGGTCTGATGGTCACAGCTCATGGTCTGATGATTGCAGCTCTTGGTCTGATGGTCACAGCTCATGGTCTGATGGTCACAGCCCATGGTCTCATCTCATGGTCTGATAATCACAGCTCATGGTCTCATCTCATGGTCTGATGGTCACAGCTCTTGGTCTGATGGGCACAGCTGATGGGCACAGCTGATGTTCTGATAGTTTTGAAATATAGATTATGTATCTCCAATTATTCACTGTAAGTTTGTGTATGTCAACAGTAGCATGCAGAGGTTAGTTCTCTAAGCATTTAATAATTCTCCAACAAAAGGTATAAGACTTTGATTGTGTGTTTCTTGAAGATCGACATCCTCAGCTGACCCTGTTAGTCAACATGCTGCGAGCCAAAACAAGCTATGGACATAGGACTATCATCAGAGTTTAGATACATTCTGATAGGATATGTTTTGAACAATTGACATGTCTTGGCATGTGTTTGTGACATGCACCACTGGTAGAGCAGGATACTCTCATCTTTTCACAAACAAGTGGTGTCATTGCTGTTTAATAATGATTAACAAGAACAGGCTCATGATAAAATCATCATATAATGGACTCTGCTTTTTGCACTTGGTTATGGAAATGGGTTTATTGTTTTTTATTCATAAATTTTAATGTACCGGTATTATTATCATGAGACGTGGTGGTTACAGCTATTCACCGGAGGACATCAAGATGGACGTTACAAAGATGAACCAGCAGCTGAAGCAGTTTGTTCAACAACTGTCGTCAGCTCACCCCACCATCCAGGACGTCTTCCACTTCTTCATGGAGGTATGATTGCATGTGTCATTAAGAGCTGAATTGTCTGGTACACACCACAGAAAAACTTTACAAGGTCAGGACTATAACTCAGCTAGCTCAGAGACTATTATTAGTCCCTAAGTCTGCAGTAAATGTTGGAAAATGTCCAGATTGGAATTCTAAAATAGTTGTGTTATTGTTTTTGTCAGTCCTGGCCACTTGCAATTTATTTTAGTCAAATTTATGAACTGCAGTCATAATGAATTAAAATTATTGGCCCCTTTTAGTTTGTTATGACCATAGTTTTCTTTATATCTTTTTTCTTGTAACAGGATGTGAAACGAGACTTCCGTGAGATGCAGGCGTCAATCTGTGAACTGCGGAGCCTCTCCCACCAAATGGCAGACTACTTCTGTGAGGCGGAGGCGGACTTTGACCTTCAGGGCTGCTTCAAACGTCTACACACATTCTGGAAACAGATCCGGAAATGTCGTCAGGTGAGCAAATAATGTCCAAAGTTAACAAAAATTATCTACTAATTTATTTCAGTGCACATGCTTTTATCATAATTATGATTTTTTTTAATGTTGCATGATGAGTGTGTGTGTTTATTCTGAAATAATTATATGTATGTGTAATGAAATGGTCGAATATAATGCTGAATCAGCAAAAACAGCTGAAATTAAAGGGCCTGGTTAGGCACATTGTATGCGAAGATAAATCTCTTACCTCTAGTACTTATTTCTTCAGGAGAACAGTATGTTTGGAAATCAGGAGAAGATGGTACAGCGTCGTAGTGATGAGTTCAAGACCAAAATCAAACACAAGAGGCTGGCCCTGGAGTTTGGACAGGAAGCTAGTAAGATTATTGTATATCAGGGATGTATTCCCTGCAGCCTTAGATTTCCAAATTTGACACACGTTGAACCAAAAATTATGCAGGGTGTGTAATTCCTATTTTGCCTTCTGTTCTTGTTTTTGTTCATTTTAACTCTTGTCATGCCTTTGCATGTGTTTGTTCAGTGAAAAGTTGCCTTGCCTTTGCATGTGTTTGTTCAGTGAAAAGTTGCCTTGCCTTTGCATGTTTGTTCAGTGAAACTTTGACTTGTCTTTGCATGTTTGTTCAGTGAAAAGTTGCCTTGCCTTTGCATGTGTTTGTGATTGTTGCCACCTGTAGGGCTGAACACACTAACCTGTTCATGAACATCTGGTGGGATCACTGGCTTATAGTAATATTCATAAACTCATGCTTATGATAGTCTGGAATAACTTAATGATCACAAAAATGGTTTTGTCACTTTCATGTCAATACTGTCATTACCTCTGATATTACCAGCCTGGCCTATATCTCACTGATGTTGTGAATTATTGGTCAATCCAACCATTCATGGTGCAGGGACTGTTAATCTTATTTCATTATGAAACATTGTAGCAATCAGGTACAAGATTTCACCAGGTTTGGACACTTGGATCAGTCCCCATCTGTAAAGACCAGTCTCCTCTTTGCGTTGAGGGGCGGTGGGGTAGCCTAGTGGTAAAAGCGTTGGCTCGTCACGCCGAAGACCCGGGTTCGAATCCCCACATGGGTACACAGTGTGAAGCCCATTTCTGGTGTCCCCCGCCATGATGTTGCTGGAATATTGCTAAAAGCGGCGTAAAACCAAACTCAGTCAGTCAGTCTCTGCGTTGATTTGTCATCTTTACGTCATCTTTATAGTTAATTCTACCATGACTTCAGTAAATACTGGATGTTGATTGGTTAATCAAAGTCATTCAGAGGTATATAATCATGTTACATACCTCTGGTTTTCCAACACAGTATGTATTTTTTTTAAATCTTAATAACAGGGTTATGGTAGAATGGAGATAAACGTACTGTGTTGGAAAATCAGAGGTATATAACAAAATTCTAATAGCTCTAAATTTTTTATTTAAAACCTCACACTATGCGTTTGGTTTTAACTCAATTTTAGAGCTAATATACAGACAAACTTTATGGATAAACAACTTCTTTATTCGGTAGATGCGACGTTTCGATACAGATTCTTGTATCGTTGTCAGGCAAGTATAAGTAAGGTAGAAAACAGGGGACTATATGCAGTAAATAATTAACTATAACAACAAGGACCTGCTAGTTTGCCGGCTATAGTCTGTTTTCAGTGATTAGTTGTCACCCATAGGCATTTGGGGGACATGAGCGTTTGGCAGACTGAGTTCGAACTCATTAATTACAAGGCTCCAGTTTGTTTTAAGTGAACTCGATTTCTAGTAACTGAATTTAGTTAAATCGAACTATATTAGCTGAAATGAGTGAAGCTTATTCCCATGATTATTTCTGAAGTTGTGCCTGTATATAAAGAATGTAGACATGATTCGATCATTGCAAAATGGCAAACACTCAAGTTAACATTCCAAATTCGAGGGGAGGTAGACACTTAATCTAACTAGGTCACAAGTTTAGGGTTAAGAGCACAAAAGGGGACCGAGTTCATTTGAATTGTTGTAAGACAGGTTGTCCTGCAACCGCCAACACCGTCAGTGATGTTCTCAGCAGTTGCAGGAACACACACAACCACCATCAAGACCAAGTTCAGTTCAGAAAATAGTTATGCATATTTATTTATGTCTTCAGTTACCATTTTTTTGTTTTCTGAAAATGTACGAAATATGTATTTATGAATTTTATCATGAAGATAAAATGTACCCAAAATGTTGAATTGGTGAAATATGAAATATCGAGATGAAGCTACAGTGTGTTCTTTCTTAGGCCGAAACAGACTATACATTAATACCCTATTGTTTAAAGGATTATCGCGCATCAGTGAATTTTTATCTATAACAAAAGTGTCCGGCAAAACGGGACCCCCACATTGGGATGTACAGTAACAATGTGATGACAAGGGATTACAGGTAGAAGCCAGTGACTAGAGATACAAGTAGAAGCCAATGGGGTATACGGGTGTGTGTACAAGTTAATACAATACAACCAGTTAAGGCTGGTTAATGAGTTCATCATACGCTGAGGGGATGAAGTAACCTTGGTCTCTATTGATCAGGGGTCGGTGTCGTTTGATGTGGATAGCTTCGGTTAATTTTCGTTTGGTTAAGTCAGGTTGGTTGGCTGCCAGTATTGTGTACTCTGTCCAGTTGATTTGATGATTGGGGTTGTTCTGTATATGTTCAGAGATAGCTGATTTCTTGTCCGACTTGTTTGTAGACACCTGGTGTTCTTTAACTCGGGTGTTGATTGGTCTTGATGGTTCACCAATATATGATTGTCCACAGTTGCAGTCTATTTTGTAAATCACACCCTTGGGTTTAATTTTCCGTTGTTGGTGTGATTGCGCCCATTGGCCTGCAGTAGGTTGTTTAGAGTACGGAAAGTCGAGAATGTGGTGTCTATATCCACTTGTTGCTTCGACCGCCTCCTTGGTGTAGTGGTTAGAGCGTCCGCCCGGAGAGCGGAATGTCGCGGGTTCGATCCCCGACCGTGTCATACCAAAAGACGTTAAAATATGGTACTTGTTGGTCCCTGCCTGGTGCTCGGCATTAATGGGTACAACAAGGACTGGTCGGTTCGGAGTCAGTGTAATGTGTCTGAGTGGGGTATTCATGCTTCACTGCGGCATGGTATCTCAGTGGGCTAGCACTATAAAACCAGCTTCAGTCTGGGCTAGTACAAGCAGCCGCACATACCCATACACACACGCATGCACGTCGTCATGTGAGCAAAATATTCTCAAGCACGACGTTAAACCCAATTTCACCTCACCTCACTTGTTGCTTCAGAAGTCTGCTGATCTGGTGGGAAGTCTTGCCAATGTAGGGTATGGATATTTTTATAGGTACTGGTTCTAGCCTAGGATGCTTCGTTGATGGTGTGAGGGTGGATACGATAGTCCTATTGACTAACTGGGGTGGATAATCATTGAGATCAATGAATGTCTCTTTAAGATGGTTTAGTTCTTCTTGAAGATTTGTAGAGCAGATGTTTTTTGCTCTCCTGGTTAGTGTAGATATTATGCCAGTCTTCACCTGTGGTGGATGGTTGAACTGGTAGTGCATATACTGGTTGGTGTGCATTGGCTTGCAGTAAACTGGTCTGGAGTGTGTTGGTAGGGGCGGGCGCGGGACACAAGGACATCTAGGAAGGGCAGTTTGTTGTTGGTTTCTGGTTCCATAGTGAATTTAATGCGGTGTGTTGGTTGTTCAGATGTTCTAGTAGCTGATCTGGATCTTGGCCCATATACCCCATTGACTTCTACGTGTAATCCCTTGTAATCCCTTGTCATCACATTGCTACTGAACATCCCTATTCACGTCCTTGTTGTTTTAGTTAATTATTTACTGCATATAGTCCCCTGTTTTCTACTTTACTTATACTTGCTTGACAACGATACAAGAATCTGTATCAAAACGTTGCATCTACCGAATAAAGAAGTTGTTTATCCATAAAGTTTGTCCGTATATTTCTCTCCAACTTCTAAACCATGCCACTCAAAGAAATTTAGAGCTATTATAATTCCGTAATATGCCCCTGATTTTCCAACACAGTATGCTCTAATTATCGACTGTCCTAAGAGGATGTTTGAAATATGTTGTTTTTAGATGGTGTGCCAGATTCAAAATTGTCTGTTTGACCTATTTTTGTTTGAATTTTCATGACTTTAATTTTATTTGTGTTCAAGAATATAACCTGTGATAACCCAATGTTTGGTTTCTTTCTTGACACCTCTTGTCATGTTGTCCAGTAAAAAGATGATGATGGATCTGGCTTCTATACAAAGAGCCATTGAAGATCCTGGTTATAACTGGTCTATGGCAACCCATTGTTGTCATAAGAGCCTACTAATTGCATCAGTGGACAAACTTGGATACTCGATGCATATCATTGTGTCGGAGTTGTGTAGCTCAATGTTCATAATGTCAATCACTGCATTGTCTGGTCCAGATTAAGTTATTAGAGATCAACGTCATATAACTGTCACATTGTTCACAGTGGTCAGACACGTTGACTGGTTGCATTGCGATCAAATTCCAATTGCATGTATAAAAGTTCAGGATATCTTCATAAGTAGATCGTCTGGTATAGAATGGATATTTCCAGACTGCCACTATATAGCAGGAATATGGCTGGGTGCAATGCGAAGTGTTAAAAATAGCTGTAAAGGAGAGCTGTGATGTCTGTCTTTCAGAGGCCAGTTCATCCATGCGAGAAGACAAGAGGAGAATCCTGGAGAAGATCCTTAGTGACCTTCATCATGCCAACTTCACCCCCACAGTTGCATCCCTCATCGCAACACCGCAGACCGAAGTGGCAAAGAGGAAGCAGTTCCTGCCAGCACAGAAGGAGCTGAAGACCCCGGAGAATGAATTTCACCCCCTGGACTTGAGTCGGATCAGCGTGGCCGGAACACCAATGGTGAACCGACCCAGGAGTGAGGCGTTTGATGATGATTTCCCTAACTTCAGTTCCAAGGTGCCACCGAAAGTCATGACAAGTTCAGGTATATATGTTTACTGTCAGGGTTTTACTGTAACAGGATAAAGTCTGATGAAGGAGTAAGCATATACTCCACGTCATTGTGTTCCTCATGATAAAGATGTTCAGATCCATAAATTCATTCCACACTGGCATAATGGTTATAAGATTTTGTGCCAAACTTTGGAGGAAATCAATTTTGAGTCAAGGACCACTTTGTGTTTTTCTGCACCGGCATCTCAAGTAAGTGTGAGATTTTCATGAGTGTAAGAATAAATTATTATTCAAGTTAAACAATTTTAAATATGTTTCCTGAACGCGTTCCTGCATTTTTTGGCATAAAGTTACAAAATTGTTGAAAAGCAAAAATTGTATTTGTCAATGTGTAAAATGAGATTGAAACTCCTAAGTTTAGATTTTTACAGCTCACATTGTAATTCATTGTCCATTCTGAAATAACTGTCCTGGTTGGTTGATAATCAGCCATCTGAGCCTCCATCGGTCATATATTGAGGTGTGTAAGAATCCTATGATCTTAGGTTTGAATCTCAGAGTAGCAGTATTCATCATTATAATTCCTATGATTCTTGGTTTGTCTGCACCATACTCATGTTTGTGGTTTTTGCCAAAGTATTATAACACATAACATGTTCATCAGTTTTCATTTGCACCCTCACTCACTGACTGAAAAGGCATGAAAAGTGAAAGTATCTGTTTGACAAGAGTTGTTTCTAATATACAGATGTATGTGTAGAGTTCAGTCCCTTTGATGTAGGGTTCGTACAACTAGAAACTATCTTTTCTCTGAACAGAAAACAACCTACTAGACGAAGATCCAGTGTGGATGAAGCGACCGACAAAAGTAAGCCTGCCGAGACGAAACTCCCATTATCGAAGTCGCAGCGACCTTGGTGAGTCCTTGTGCGGCACCACAAAGTGGGTGAGATACGAGGAGATCAAACTCAAGCAGAACCACACTGAAATAGGACAAGCTCCATTAGCCAAACCCGAAAGTTGTTGTACCCTAGCAACCCTCCACCTTGAAGATAACGGTAAATTCACTTATCAAGAAGAAATGTCACTTCATGATGGACCAATGGTTGTACTTCCAAAATTGGAAGGCAAGCAGTCAAAAAAGCTTGAAAAGAGATCATCAATTGGTAACTTCTTCAGCAAAATATCCCGTCGAGTCCTTCGTCCAAAAAACGTGAACACATGTTACAACACCAACAACTCTTCAGTGTTTGTGGACGATGGAGGTATGAAACCAATTCAAAATGGCCGCCGCTTCTCTTCTGATAACAAGGAGAACATCAGTAGTGGACTATCAAAGAATGAGATAGCGTTGGAAAAACGGTATGCAGAGAGGGAATATCGGCGCTTCAAGGCTCAAAGACAGAAGGGCAGTAGAGAAAAGTGTACATGAGTTGGAGTGACATGACGTGGACTTTGATGACAGCTGGTGCAGCACTATTGCTATATGTATATTTGACATTGATGAAATTCTTCTTTGTAGTGTGCTGAAGCTCTTTGGTTGTGTTCTGAAGATCTTTTGATATTATGTGCTAACTTCTTTGGTTGTGCTGTGCTAAAGTCTAAACTACAGCCTATTTTATGTATTTTCTTAGATAGAGATAATTTTGCTTTCTCATTTGACAATCTTTGGATCATCTGTCTCTTGTCTTTTAGAATCTCCAAGCCTTTTTTCCCCTCCTCTGTGTATATAAGGGTGTACATTTACATATATTTAATTTATTCATGCTTGTGAATGTTTTTGTGCTTGTGTCTAGTTTGAGTTGTCACAGCTGTCATTAATGAGATACCGCTACAATGAAATTGGATCACAATGGTTTGTGGACCATCATGATGTCATCTGTTACGATGACATCACAATCAAATGACATCACTCATCTGAACCACTGAAGCTGGTTAGACGTTGTTTTTAGTCTCAAGACTGGTTATTATTGAAATGAAAATGTAGGCAGAAGGATTTGGATTAATAAATCCAACCCGAGTGTCTTCAGATATGAAATATGTTAATACTATTGATAAAACTTCATATGACGTTTTATTGTTTTATTGATTCATGTTGATGTATTTAATATCAGAAGACACTCTGGTGGGATTCACTATGAAGCTTTTCTGTACACAATCTTAGCACTAAGATGATCATAACTTCCCTACTTTAACACAGGCTTACTATATCCTTAGCGCTAAGATGACTTGGTGCAAGTGAGCCCTGGCAAAGCATGCATAGGCATATTAAAGAGGGGCATGGCTCAGTTTAAAGGGCAGTACATGCAAGGTTTGACATGGTACAGTAACCTTGAATTTAATTTATGTATAACAGGGCACTGAATTTAAGTTTTCATCATGTTTTGCTCATCACTAATATTAATTCAACCATATATAAACAGAGAGACATCTGGTACTTTCCTACAGTTAAATATGCAAAGGAATGTTGAAAACCCATGACCAAAATATTTGTACTTATCTCTCAGCATCCAACTCAATTTTTAACTTGGGTATGCAAAACACAGAATGTAAAATGTTGCCCTTATACAACAGCCCATATGATTCATCCTCCATTAAGAGCTGGACTGGATTAATGAAGGGATGGGATGGGATACTGAAATGAGTCCAGCTTCTAATAAGGATGGGATCAGGGGCAGCTTATTACTCACTGATGACATGAATACCATGATTAGTGTAAGCTTAAGCCATCCAATGAATATAAGCTTGGACTTAGATATAGGAGTAGGTAAGTTCAAGTGAACTGATAACCCCCCCAGCTATTAATTGAAATATGATTTGTATATATCTGGTGGAATACGCACATGACTGTCGCCACTTGACACTACTTGTAGCTGAATGGATATATACTACTCAAAAGAGTTAAAGAACACCTGATTTCATATGACTAGGTAATCCCTCATGACATGTGCTTAACTGTAGTCACATGAACATATTGGTTGTTATTCAACTTCTTTTGTGTAGTGTATGTTATAAATAAGTTACCACATATGTATATATTGCTTTTTATACCCTATACTAGTCTTTTCATTGTTATTTCTTCTTGTTCTATGGCAGGTTTTGCTATTTTGTACTAATATGGGAAATAATGGAACTAAAGCAGATCTGTCACTTCTGTGTTCAGAATTAAGGCTCCATGTACATAGAATACTACAATGGAATGTTAGAATCTTGTGTAACTATATGACCTGAAATATTGTCTTTGTTGGATGTGACATGCTGTGTGTGTATATGTTCCATTATTTCTTCCCATGAGTATATACCTGTAATGTGATAAGTGCTGGTTGTGATGCTGTGATGGAGTGCAACCAATCAGGGTAGAGGCAACGACATCATTGTTGTGAATAGTGTTGGAATTTATCTTGTCCCAGCAGTGTGCAACATGTCTGCGAAAATTCTCCAACTGGAAAGACAAACTTTCTGTTTCAAGTTATATAGTGGAGAGTAATGATATGGCTTTGTGGGAAGTCAAATTGCAAAATCTTCCTTTCTTCATAGTTTTCCTGCCCACCATCCATCTCTATCCCTTCCGGCGCAGTGGGGTAGCCTAGTGGTTAAAGTGTTCGCTCGTCATGCGAAGGCCCCAGTTCAATTCACCACATGGGTACAATGTGTGAAGCCCATCTCTGCTGTCCCCTGCCGTGATATTGCTGGAATATTGCTAAAAGCGGCGTAAAACCAAAACTCACTCACTCTATCCTACCCTTGGTCCCCCCTTTCTCACTTGTCTCCATCCAATGCTCTCTTTCTCTTCCTGTCTTTTTACCCCTATCTCTCTCCTCTCTTCATCTCGTTCTTCCTCTCTCCTCTTCTTTTTCCCTCCCATCCTCTCCTTTCTTCTCTTCTCTCTTTTTTTCTCTTCTCTTCTCATACTTCTCATCACTTCTACAGCATATTTTTCTGAGCATTTCTGTAAATGTTATATCAAAAAATGTTTCAAGGGTATTGACCTAAAATTGGTATTCTCTCTGTGAGTTTGATTGCAGTTTCCATGGAGATCTGAATTCACATGTTCACTCTGCCACCCGAAGCTGACACATGGAGCACTTCACCTGCACATGGTAAGATTTCACTCACAATTATAATTAACGTAACCATGGTAACAATGCAAAACTGTGTGTTTGTGATTTGTTTGCGGTCTCCTGCCGAGTATGATTTTAAAGTTTCCATTTTGGTCGTTTCAGGTGTGAAAAGCTTATTATCAGGAGGAGCCCTGGTCTGCAGGGCTTCGCTGTCTCAGCTCATCGTCAATGATGTCCTGGCTTCTGGCAGAGTGAACATGTGCCTGTTTCTCCTCTCCCAGGATATTGTTGCTAAAAGATGCGTAAAACTAAACCCACTCGCCATGTGTAGGTTAGTAAGGTCATAAAGTTTCTGAGTCATTACTTTCTGCATGATTTTTGTACTACCTCAGATTACAGATTTGCTGAACCAGATTTTTAAAATGTTAAATATGAAAAAAATGTCAAGAACATCTTCTTCTTTTTTCTTCCCACCAAACTTTCATTTTTAAATGAATTAAATGTTGCGATCTATGTGGTATGTAATTCTTTCAGGTCATCTTTATGTTTTTGAACGATATCTGTAAAACACATAATTAAGTAACATGGATTAGGGACCACTTTCATGACAAAGAAGTTCCTTTTAGCAATCTCAGCTCAATGATAATTGTCGCCGCCATATAGCTGGAATATTGCTGAGTGCGGCGTAAAACTCAGCTCACTCACTCACTCAATGATAATTGTAAATCTCATACTTTAACATTAGACTTACAACAATTGTAGATGAGATTGCTTTGTGAAGTTTGATGTACATTTAACTTGAACTCGCCCACAAAAATGATAGTTTCCAAATAACTTTCTACAGAATTATTAAATACAACTATCATCATGATTGAGTAGTACATGTCTTTCCTTACCTCTTCCTACAAAAATTGTTTCAGTAAAAAAAATTGTATGTAAATATTTTTTACGTAACTGATAATTTTTTATAACATGTCCATATTAATATAGTAAGGAATATCTGTGAGGTTGTTTTGTGATAAGAGTTCAGTGTATGCTGTACGTGGGATAGCACTGGTTTAGATAGTTTTACAGCTTGCTTCATAGCTTGGAATAAGGCCATGTCTGTCTTGCTTGCTGCTCTGAGGCACAGTTGGGCTTTCCGTTATTAGAACGATACATCTAGTCATTCACAACATCGGCAGGACAACACAGCCTTCCTGCTCTGACATGATCTTTATGAATTTTTAAAAATAATTCTTGTAGCTGTTCCTTCATGTTGATATGAATATTTTACATGACTTTGAGATCAAATTACATTGAATTACTATCTAAGTTATCTTTAAGTTGTTTCAATTTACAAACATGCCAGTACCACAAAGGTGTTTTTTTCAAAATACCCTAAAGAAGGCAAGTTTCACATCTATTTCAGTGATAATATTTTCCTAAAGCAGAATAAAGAATGATGATAATTTTTATGGATATACAACGTCATTATTCCGTGAAAGGCAACAACGACCTTAGAATCTATGTCCAAACATCTCCTTTCACAGAATAACGAAGTTGTATATTCATAAAAAGTATAATCAATTTTCACCACCCCAACTTTTAAAATGCCCATCAAGGAAGTAAAACAGAATACATTGACACTGTATGTAGCTGTTCTTTTCCATTACCCCCAGGAGTACAGTTTATAACATTTACCTGAATACAGTAACTTTATTCAATATTCAATCTATATCTGTGTTAAAAAGTGTGTATTGAATTATTTACCTGAAGTAGATGACACTGATAATATCAAGATAAGTCCTTGCTATATCATTTCTTACATCATCGAAATGATATTACCCTGATGTTTAATATATTTCCCTGGAGAAGAATATACTGTCCTGAGATTTAATATATTGCCCAGAAATAGAATATTTTACCCTGAAGTTTAATATGTAGCCCTTGGGTTTAATATATTGCCCTGAAGTGGAATATATTGCTGTTAAGTTTAATAATATTGCCCTGAAGTTAAATATATTGCCCCAAAGTGTAATATATTGCATTGAGGTTTATTTTATTGCTCTGAAGTAGAATATATTGCCCAGAAGTGTAATATTATGGCCCAGAAGTAGAATATATTGCCCGCCCTGAAGTTTAATATATTGCAAAGTAGAATATATATATTTCCAATGTCGGCAAGGAATCGGCCTGTATTGTCCTGCTGGTGAGATGTTTTTGTAAAGGTCAAGTCTTTTGCTTGAAGAGTGCAATTTGTATATATATTTTTTCCTGAGTCTCCTGTACATATATTATTCAGTTTTAGTTTCTATATTATAATTATAAAGAAGACAGATATAATTTCACAAAAAATGACGCCAGGTGTATTTTGCAGTCATACTCCATGGGAACATGTGCATTTGCCTGTATTTTGTTGGCTAAACAATATTTGCTTACAACTGTTTTTTCTATCCTTGTAAATCTATCAAATGTCTGTTCATATCCATCATTTGAACCGAATCTTATTTTTAAATTATTCATTAATTTCTTAATTCATTCTTATGAGGAAGACATGTTTTGTATGTCTGTTAGCGTTTCCTAGTTCAAACTGTGGCCCAATAGATTTATTAACCCACACAGAGTATTGTAAAGAAATATATTTGAACGAACATTTATGCTTCTTATTAGAATGGTAGATGAATAGAGTACAGTAGAACCCTGTTAGTCTGATGGATGCTTGTTGTTTGAAACTTCTACATATACATTCTAGACTGACAATTTATTCAGACCATAATTTGTTTTCCTTGACTTCATTGGTAACATCACCCATTGCAGATTGTAGACTGAATAGCTCCCCAGCAATGGTGGTTGTAGTGGATTGTGATGCATCATGATGACTAATTGTGTTGCTCGTAAAAAGAATTCAAATGATTGTCTGATCCAGACTTGGCCTTTAACAGACCGCCATCATAGCTGGAATATTGTGTGTTACACCACAAACACACTACAGGAATGTCACATGGATTAAGTCCATTTCATAGCATGTCAGTATTTTAAGCAGGTGAAAGTATATAATTCACATTTTGAGCACAAAAAAGTTATCAGAATTTATCTCAGTTTCTACATATTCATATTCAAATTGTAAATATTCTGATATTGTAAATAGAGTGCTTAGCGTTTTGTTGTGAAGTACGTTTTGTTGCATGATTGTACTAATGTTGCCATGGTGATTGGTTTATATTTGTGAAAATGGCTTTTTACAGTATTTTTGGTGACCTTTACCCGCCACAAGATTGTACAGTGTTGTGCTTGTTAACATGTATTGGCTGTTGTTGTTTTTATATTTTCCTTAAATTGTTTGACACACTTCCACTTTATTCATTATCACCTTAAATGTCAAATTATGATGATAAGGTATTTTGCTAAAAGCAAAGAATAACATTTACCTAAGTGTTACTTAAATGTTCAACAAGGATGGTTGTCACACCAAAGACACAGGTTTGGTTCCCCACATGGGTACAGTGTGTGAAGCCCATTTCTGGTGTTCCCCGCCGTGATATTGCTAGAATATTGCTATAAGAGGCTAAAAACTAAACTCACACACTCAATTATGTGTTCCAGGGGTGGTAATAACTTTAAAATTGCTAGTGTACTCAGGTACAGTGGCACATGTAAAATCACTTGCCCTGATAATTTTTCCACTATACCGTCCGTTTTCTTGTTGATATTTTAAATAAACAACATAATTAATATTGGAAAGTCAACTGGACACCGGTACAGTGTGATAAACAAATTTGCTTGCCCAACAGAAAAAAACACTGGACTCGGACGTCGGGCAATGGGTTATTTCCACCCCTGTGTTCAACACTAAAATTGGACCTATTGTAATCCAGACTGGCATCCAGATGATGAAACCTGTTGGAGACCAATGGTTAGTTTGGTCAGCAGCTACCAATGCTTTTTATGGGTTGAGGCAGCAAAGAGTATCAATGGTCAAACTTGATACTTGATACATGTCATCGTACCCCTGCCGTATAGATTAATTTTCATAATATCAATCACTTCACTGTTTGGTCCAGACTGCATTATTTAGAGATAACAGCCATATAGCTGGAACAATGCTGGGTGTGGCATTGAGCAGTTTCCAAAATTTTAAGATGAAGATTTCGGAATAATGTTCTAATGGCTGGATCTCTCATTATTGACAGTATTCAAGAAAATGAGCATTTTAAAAATATAAAATGGAATTGCTGCTTCTTTTACAGGTTTTATATGTTAGGTGTTTTGTCATCTCTTGAATATTTTCTTCTTGCAAAATTTGTAAACTTGCTTTGTTATGAAATGTTGGCAAGGAGCTTTAAGCCAAAGAGTCCGAGAAATGCTTCTGTAGGGCTAGATGCTGGGGATGAAGGTGCTTGGTAGTGGGATTTGATTTATTTTATTTTCATGAAAATGAAATGACAAACTGGTATGTCAGCACAAGACATCACGCTGGGTTCACCAAGGAATTAAGTCTATAAATATCAGCTTTCCTTCTACAAACTCACTCTACTACGCACTTGTTCACCAACACTCACCCTCTCTTAACTCACTCTTACAACCACTCACTCACTCACTCCAGTCAACTTAGCAACCACACTCACAAACACTTCCACCCCTCCACATGGCCTTTATACCTCCAGATTACACAATGGTGCAATCACATATCTTACCCTTGTTTATAATATCAATACATTACTGAATTAATATTATAAATGTTACCATGACAACGTAAATTTGTGTAATTGTATAATGGATTATGTGTTTGTTCTCAAATGTGAAATATTTAAGTATTACTACATATATGGATATGATATATTTTCATATTTTTCAAGTATATATTTCATGTGTAAAAGATGTTTATATCTCAGGTCATCTCTTTCACTGGTACAATATACATGAATCTATTTATGTTTTTCCAATTGGCAAATATCATTCCCCTATGTACCCACTCCATTTGTACCAAAACAAGTCCCCCTTTTAAAAACATTAATTCCCTTCACCACCTTGGACACAGAGGACAGTTGTGTAAGCTGCCACAGTCTGCTGTGCACAGTTGCTTCCCTTGGGCACACCAGGAACCTATGGTCATGCATAGCCTGCAGCATTTGGGGCTTTCTCCCACATTTAGTTGAGATGCTGTGATATAGCTGAAACACTGTTCAAAGCAGCATCACACCAAACTCACTCACTTGACCACCCCCAACACCCCACTTTACCACGTTTCAGTATCACATTGTATTAAATTTAGTGGGGGGTGGGGGTGGGGGGGTGTTGGTTGTTAGCCTAGTGGTTAAAGTGTTGGCTCATCACACCGAAGACCAAGGTTCGATTCCCCACATAGATACAATGTGTGAAGCCCATTTCTGGTGTACCCACATGATATTGCTGGGATATTGCTAAAAGGGGCGTTAAACCATATTCACTCACTCACTAGTATTTGGTATTTAGTTTAGTATAACACTAACAATCCTCTCACAAAGCCCTAGATTTCCACTACACAATGACTTGTCTTGAAAAGTCATGATTAGGGCAGACCAATTTTATTTCCTGTTTTACAGCATTTTGTCCTTAGAAAACCTAAAGGCAGGAGGGAAAAAAAATAAAATCACCAGTCAAAGTTATATTCCTTTTAAATACTCAAAGTATTTTACTTTTGGCAATTTATGAAGTGTATATGGGGCAAAAAACAATCTAAAAATAATTTCTTGTAAGTTTACATTTTTGCCCAATAAAAACATTATGATTTATATTTTGAACGGGGAAATTGTTTTTATTTTTTATATTTTTTCTTGTTCTTGAAAAAATACGACAGGCGGATCTGTAAAACAAGAAATATAATTGGTCTGGCCTTACCATTTTGTTCAGAAACCACACCTCTCCATCCTACATTCTTCTGTTTCTATTCACAATCCCTTCCACATCCATTTCATTTTTCTATCCTGGTAATGATTCACAACAACTTTGCCTTTCATATTTCCAATTATCATTACCTCAACATTTATCAGTTTCCATGTAACATATATTGCTTTCTCTTGTCACCAATATTTTTTTTCAATTTGTTTTTACTGACAAATATCAGTTTCTTATTCTATGAACCAATGTCAGGTGTCCCTAAACGTTTGATGCTTTTAATTCATGCCACAATGATGTGATGAAATAAATCCATGTCCGCTTTATCCTGTTGTTGTGTTTTTGATGGCACTAATGTATACATATAACAAAATGTTAGGGATGGTGAAAAGTTTAGATCTTGTATTTCTTAAATTGTGTGCTGATATTAGTCTTCACTTTCATGAAAATATTCCCCAAATATTCATGATCTCAACGTTATTGTCAACAGATGGTTATTCTAGTCTGGCTAGGATCTGTCTAAGAATATTCACAGGAACACAGGAAATCAATTTTGGGTGCGAGATGTAAATGGTCAGATGAACGCCAGATTCTTATAGCCTGTCACCTCTTTACTGATGAAGGTCTGGGTTAGAATATTGATCTTCAGTAACCCATGCTTGTCGTAAGAGGCGACTAACGGGATCGGGTGGTCAGGCTCGCTGGCTTGGTTGACACATGTCACCGGTTCCAAATTGCGCAGATCGATGCTCATCATGTTGATCACTGGATTGTCTGGTCCAGACTCGATTATTTACAGACCGCCGCCATATAGCTGGAATATTGCTGAGTGCGGTGTAAAACTAAACTCACTCACTTTACTGATGAATATTTGAAAGATTCTCGCAATAATGAGCTGGCTTGGTCTGAATGTGCCTATTGTATCTGTAATAGAATTGACGTCCAGCAACCAATGCTGTATGGGATCGTTGCTTATAATATCAGTCACTGGATTATCTGGTTCAGCCTGATATTTACATCATACTGTCAGATAGCTGTAATATTGCTGAGTTTGATATTCAAACATAAACACCATAATTTAAAAAAATATGGTACCCTATAAATCTCAAGTCTTACCATTGCAGAGACCATATACCAGTATATCTCTTTGCCATTTGGCACTGTGGGCCAGTCGCCCTGTCCTGCCCTGTGTAGAGTTGCGTCCCTTCGACACCGGAAACACATCACTTGGGTTGTACCGACCATGCCCAGGTTGTCAGCACCATACCCGTGGTCATGGGTTTTAGCCCGCATTAAGCTCAGGCTGACATTAATTACTATCAAAGTGGTGTTAAACCAACTATATCGGGTGTCCCCCCAAAAGTGAACCGGTTTTGGACAAGTTCTCAGCGATAGATAAACCGAATTTATTAAGAACTTTCACAGAGTAACCCTAGGGTATCATCAACAAGTCAAATTATGCGAGTATTGTCAAATTCAAAACAGCATGTCAAAAGATGTAATATCAAGGGAAAACATATTACAGCCTATGCCAAATGTGGCCTCCATCTTCCTCCACAACTACTTTAAACGAAGCCGTTTCTTCCAAGCAGAAATGCTTTTGCGTATTTCTTCCACAGATATCTCCTCCCATGACAAATTATCCTTTAACGTCTGCTCGGTCAGTTGGTCTCTCACTCCTCGCTAGGGGCGGTGGGGTAGCCTAGTGGTTAAAGCGTTGGCTCGTCACGCCGAGGACCCGGGTTCGAATCCCCACATGGGTACATTGTGTGAAGCCCATTTCTGGTGTCCCCCGCCGTGATGTTGCTGGAATATTGCTAAAAGCGGCGTAAAACCAAACTCACTCACTCACTCCTCGCTAAACTTTCTCCTTTAGAGAGTCCAATATGGCATTGCATTTTTAACATGTAGTTTTGAATTTGACAATACTCGCATAATTTGCGACCAATCTCTTACATAATTCATAGACTTGTCGATGATACCTTAGGGTTACTCTGCGAAGTTTTTGTATAAATTTTGTTTATCTATCGCAGAGAAAATACTTGTCAAAACCGGTTCACTTTTGGGGGGACACCCGATATATTCCCTCAAATTTGAGCAACAGATCGTGATACAGTTGTATGTAGAACACTTCTTAACAGATCACCTGTAGCCTCATTCAGACTTATACATAATGATGATAGCATTTGGCCCATCATTTGTATCTGAAAAAGGTAATGGTTAATGGCGTCCACTCGTCACGCTGAAGAACCGGTTCGATTCCCCATATGAGTAAAATGTCTGAAGCCCATTTCTAGTGTCCTTTCGCCCCACCCCCGTAATATTTCTGGAATGTTGCTAAAAGCATCGTAAATCCGGAATCACTTACTTGAAAAAGGCTTGATGATGAACTTCCCCATTATGTAACGGGATATTGCAGAAGCTCCAGTCTTTGCCCAGTATTTAGGATATCGGATCATCCATGTACCCGAGCCCTAAGTTAAAGGTTTGGGTTAATTTCCCTTGTTTTGAGGTTGCCAGTTCGAGCAGTCATAAGATACTGGGGCACGTGTAGTTCCGTCGGACGGGGTGCCGTCAATCCTCCTACAGAGTTACCTCCCTTGAGCGTACCAGAATCCAATGATCATGGGTGGGTAAACTGATGCTACTGTTTTAATGGCATTACAAGCGAAATACACGTAGAAG